ATCCAGTACTTGATAAAACATATTAATAGCTTGTATTAGTAGTGTATCCAGTACTTGATAAAACATATTAACAGTATGTATTAGTAGTGTATCCATTACTTGATAAAACATATTAATAGCTTGTATTAGTAGTGTATCCAGTACTTGATAAAACATATTAACAGTATGTATTAATAATGTCTTCTTTAGTTGGTAAAAAATCTTAACAATATGTATTAATCGTATCTTCAGTTGGATCACTGAAGACACTAGTAACTATAAGTTATATCACTGAAGACACTAGTAACTATAAGTTGTGTCACTGAAGACTGGTAACTATAAGTTATATCACTGAAGACACTAGTAACTATAAGTTATATCACTGAAGACACTAGTAACTATAAGTTGTGTCACTGAAGACTGGTAACTATAAGTTGTGTTATATAAGACACTGGTAACTAGAACTAACTATAAGTTAACTAACAGAAAAAAAAACACAGACTGTGAAATATATTTTAAGTCCACGCTTTTATTAAATACATCCAGTTTTACTTGTTCAGTGTATTTGTCATATGTGGTTCTTGTAATATTATAGTCATAACATCATTTTTATTTTGTTGTTTTTGTTTCTGAATTAGTTGTTCAAGAATTGTTAATGGGTCACAAAAGTAGTGGTTTAGAATATTCTCGATAACTTTCTAATATTTTAAACACAACTATATAATTGTCACCTTTTATTTTTGAGTTATAAAACTGTTTCAACAGGTAGAAGAACTAAGAATAGAGCTGAACCGTAGAGATCAAGAGATTCTGGGAATGGGAGCCAAAATGCGAACATTGGAGGAACAGCATCAGGATTACCAGCGACACATTGCTGTGCTCAAAGAATCTCTATGTGCCAAAGAAGAACATTACAATATGCTTCAATCTGATGTAAGATAAAAATAATAATATCAAAATAAAAATGTTTTATACCATTCCTATATATTCAATTGTATTGGCATGCACAGTTCTTCACTTATTGTTAAAGATTTCCCTACTTCAGTCACTCGCTTTATCTTTCGATTGTAGCCAAGGTTTAATTAAATGTCCAAAGATACACCTTTAGAGTGGATTGTTTATTTAACTTTCTTATAACATTTTGACCACTCGTGTGGTCTTCATCATGTAATTGATGTTAATTGGATGTTGATTCGTTGTGCTGTGTTTGTAAATATGTGATGAGAGATTCTTATGATCTTTGATCCTAATGCTTAACATAAGAATCAATATCCAATTAACATTAGAAACTATAAAATATTATGTAATGAGAACAACATTAATAGAATAAAAATATAAGAATCATTACTTATTTGTGAACTAAAATCTAATTTAAATCAAAACAGGGGTGTCACCCTATATATATGTTTAAATTGGAACAAGATGCTTACACAGTATTTCACAAAATAGAGACAGTTACATGATGAAGACCACACGAGACAGGGAATTCGAGGACGTGTGAGTATCCCAATTGTCGCACTATGAGGAAAGGTTTTTGTGACACCATGGAATAAATCCATTTGGTGCACCAAATGGCTATAAATGTCAAATCAGTAAATCCAATTATAGCATCCAAAGGGTTAAAGTATATAGTGGATTTGTGGATTTCCTCTCCTCACAACATTAGCCAAGATTTGTGCCATACCACTCTCTGCATCAGGATGTCATTGTTTAAGTTACACAATCACGAATGTAAGAGTATTTACATCCAAGGGTTACTGATGATGGATGGAGCTCTCTGAAATTGGTATATCTCGATGACAGGTGGTAAACTGAATTATAGATTGTGCCGCACATTTTCTTTTAATACTTGAAACAGTTTGTCTGGCTGTAATTCATGAAAATAAATTAGTAGCATCAAATCATGAGATTCTTAAATAAACATAAGGTTACTGTATGAGTAAAAGACTATACCTTAATAGTATTTCGTATCATTTTGTAGGTGGAAGAGCTCAGAATGAAGCTAGATGATAAAAACCAAATAATAGAAAAGAAAACCCAGCAGACCAGCTCAAGCACTCAGGAAAAAAACAAATTATCACATGAAAATCAGGAGCTTAGAGATCACATGGAGATCAAAGATAGGAAAATCAATGTTTTACAGAGAAAGGTGGAAGTTCAGATAACTTTAATAAAGTTTTCTTGTGACATTTGTACGTAATTGGAAAATTTAGCAAATATATCAGATCCACCATAATAATTTACTGCTAATGAAATAGGTTTCATTTAAAATATTTTGTTTTCTTCTAGGTTTTCTTTAAATTAGTATTTAAGTTTAATTAAGAAAATATTTTATTGTCATGTAGGTTTGACTTAAAAACATTCTGTTGTCTATAATTTTTGTTTAAAAATATTCTGTTGTCTTTTATGTTTTATTAAGAAATAATTCATTGTCTTCTAGGTTTTGTTAAAAATATTTTATTGTCTTCAAGGTTTTGTTAAAAATATTCTATTGTCTTCTAGGTTTTGTTAAGTATATTCTATTGTCTTCTAGGTTTTGTTAAATATATTCTATAGTCTTCTAGGTTTTGTTAAATATATTCTATTGTCTTCTAGGTTTTGTTAAAAATATTCTATTGTCTTATAGGTTTTGTTAAAAATATTCTATTGTCTTCTAGGTTTTGTTAAAAATATTATATTGTCTTCTAGGTTTTGTTAAAAATATTCTATTGTATTCAAGGTTTTGTTAAAAATATTCTATTGTCTTCTAGGTTTTGTTAAAAATATTCTATTGTCTTCTAGGTTTTGTTAAATATATTCTATTGTCTTCTAGGTTTTGTTAAAAATATTCTATTGTCTTCTAGATTTTGTTAAAAATATTCTATTGTCTTCTAGGTTTGGTTAGATATATTCTATTGTCTTCTAGGTTTTGTTAAATATATTCTATTGTCTTCTAGGTTTTGTTAAAAATATTCTATTGTCTTCTAGGTTTTGTTAAAAATATTCTATTGTCTTCTAGGTTTTGTTTAAATATATTCTGTCGTTTTTTAGGTTTTGTTAAAAATACTGTTGTTTTTTAGGTTTTGTTAAAAATATTCTGCTGTCTTTTGGGAGGGGCAGAAAATTTTAAGGGAGGCAATAAATTAAAAAGATGAAATTGATCTAAATTTTTAATAAAATGATCATTAAAAGAAATCAAATCAAATGTAATAGTGTAATATTAGTGTAACTAATAATGTAATAGAGTTTATAGAAGTTTTTTATTATTACAGTACAAAACGAGTTTATTATATATAAAAGCTGAAAAATAATATGTGATCAATATGCCTAGCTTTTTTTTCAGGGGGCCAGCCCCCCTTCATCCAGTTGTCTTCTGAGTTTTATCAGAAATAGCCAGTTGTCTTATTGACTTTGTGAGAAATAGCTTGTTGTCTTCTAGGTTTTATCAGAAATAATCTGTTGTCTTCTAGGCTTTTTGAGAAATAGTCTGTTGTCTTCAAGGTTTTGCAGAAATAGCCTGCTGTGTTATAGGTTTTGTTTATTGAGGATTGTTCAGTTAGTTAATAGAATTATTTCAATGATAAGGTCAATTCCTTGATAAAGTAGAAGTTATTATTGTTTAAAAGTTACATTTGTTAATTTTGGTACAAAATGCTTGCATATTTAGACTAACACTTAATAGGTCTGTCATTATCTACTTTAACAATTACTATAAATTATAGATATTTAGGAAAATATTTATTTTTAACAATTTTAAAATCCATTGTGACATTAAAAAAGTATTTCTTTCCAATTCATAATGATCGGTGTTTGTTTTTTTAAATGCATCTTTTTGTCATCAAACTTCTTAAAACAGCTAAAGAAGTCCAAGTTAAAAACATTAAGTGATGTTGAAAAGATTGTATAGTAATTGTTAAATTATAATAAATCACTAACTAAAGAATTAATTCTGTGAATGTCAAAAATTTTAACACTTCAAAATTTAATTAGACATTTCTGAATTAGCTATAATAACAATTGGTTGCTAATTATTCTTCAACTTTTTTCATGTATGATTCACTTACGATTGGTGCTTTTCTCCTGATTTTAATACAAAACTTTGGGCATTTTCTATTCACACTCTTCTATATCGTCTACTAAAAATGATTTGTTCAGTTCAGCGATAATATTATAAAATAAAAATGTCTCAAACAAAATTTAAAATATTTGTTAAAATAAATTTAGACTTTAGGTTGGCATTGTGTTAGCATATTGGATTTAAGACAAGAGCTTTCAAACAACTTTCAGCTGTGGGTTCATTATAAAGGTGATAGTCAAGCTCTCTGTTTTCTTAAGAATAGCCACTTTAGGTAGTGGGTCCTGCCAATTGGTTGCCTTTTATCTGGTCCACAGTTCAAAATTAGAGTTGGCTTTGCCAGAACAATTGGGAGTATCTGACTTGACAGTTAAGTCTATTGTGTGTGTGTAAGATTTATGTCATTTAGGTAAACAAACAAGTCGGGCTGATACTATATTTGGCTTTCACAGAAAAGGAATTTTTGTAATAAAGCTCATTCTTGGGATGTTACCAAAATATAAATTAGTAAGTCATGTAATGTTCTGAATGATTCCTTGGTGTCACAGCTTTAACATTAAAATATTTTTGTATCAAGTTTGTTTGTCATTCAGTAATAAACTGAGCATTAAAATTTTGAATGTTTCACGTTAAATATTTTTTTTATACATTTGTTTGATTTGATTTCTTCTAGATTGAAAACCTTGAGGACTTGCTGAGAGAAAAAGACAACCAAGTCGACATGGCAAGGGCTAGGTTAACAGCCATGCAGGCTCATCACTCCTCATCTGAAGGAGCAGTTTCCAGCTTGGAAGAAGCCATCAGTGATAAGGAGAAGCAAATCAACCAACTTCGGGAGCAAAGAGACCGAGCAGAACAAGAAAGAAATGAAGAAAAGGAGCTTCACGAGCGTGAGATAGCTGAGTACAAGATGAAGATGCATGCATTAGAGAGTGAGATGGAGAAATTACAGGTGAGGTTAGAAAAAGCAGCTTCTGAGAAAGACAGGCTCGAAGTTAGACTTGAAAATTCTCAGTCAGAACTTGGGCAGGCTAGGGCTGAACTTGATAAGCTTCAGTTTGAAATGAATCGGACTCAGTCTAGTTGGGAGAGGGGAAGAGGTGAAAGTTCACGCTTAGCTTTGGAGAATGAACGTTTGCGTGAACAGCTCGATAGATTAAAGGCTGAATTAAATAGATCGCAAGAAACATTTGGTCTTAAATCCCAACGATACCAGTCAAATGAGGTAGAAATGCTACAAGAAAAATTAGATAAAGTTCAAAGTGAGCTTAGGAGAGCTCAAGCTGAACTTCGAATGAACCAAGCAGAGCAAGATCGATCAAGAGGGGAGGTTGAACAGCTTCAAGAAAGAATTGAACGATCTCAGGGAGAGATTTACAGACTCAAAGCCAAGCTAGAAAATGCTCAGTCAGAGAGAGAGAGTATTCAGGAAGAATATGACAGAATTCAGAGCTGTGTTGCTCGTGCTCAGGCTGAAAGAGATAATGCCATGACAGAATCTGACAAACTCAGAACTGAACTAGAAAGAGTTCAGGCAGCCCTTAGTAAGCTGGAGGAGCTTCATGAGAAAACTCAAACTGCTTTAGATAAGTCATTGCTAGAGTCTGATAAGTTCCAAGAAGAACTGGAAAAAGTAAATAGTGAAGTAAGAGTGCTTAAAGCAGAGAGTGAAAACAATCAGAGTGAGCTGGATAGTATGCACTTAGAAATGCGACAGATGGAAAATCAAATTGAAAAGCTTCAGAAAGAAAAAGATTCAGCAGAACAGGAAGTTGAGAAAATTCAAGAAAAGTATGAAAGAGCTCAAGTTTACTATCAACGTTTGCAAAATGAAAAAGACTCATGCCACAGTGAAATTGAAGAATTACAAAACAGATCTGATCTTCTTCAGGCCCAGTTAAGTAAAACCCAAAAAGACAAGGAAAACCTTCAAGCTGAGTATGAAGTTGTTCGAGAAAGATTTGAAACAGCACAAGATCAGTTGGAAATCAATAAATCAGCATGTGAAGGTTTTGATAATGATTTAAAAATGTTGAGAGAAAAACATGACAATGTGAAAGAACAGTTAGAAAGGGTACAAACCAGTCGAGATCTCTGTCGAGCAGAGAATCACAAGCTTCAAGAAAAGTTAGATAAAAGTCAGTCTGAAGTATACAAGTTGGAGTCAAGCCTAGAACAAGCACAAGCTGAAGTTGAAAGACTAACTTTAGAGCTAGAAAAGGCCCAGATGACTGCCACCCGCACCAAAGATGACCACAAACACTTGCAAGAAGACTTTGAAGCACTTCAGGAACAGTGTAACATCGCAAGTTCTCAGCTCAACAGAGTTAAAGAATTAGAGGAAAAACTGAAAACTAAACTTGATCGTTGCCAACTCGACCTCGAGGTCTTGCAAGACAGGTATGATAAATCTCAGGCTGATCTTCGGAAAGTGCAATATGAGAGGGACAGCTTGCAAACTGATGCTGACCGTATGTCCATAGAACTCGAGAAAATAAAAACTCAGGCAGGAAAAACACTAAACTCACATGAAGAAGAAGTATCCAGATTACAAAATGATTTAGAAAAAATGTATGAAAAATTAGACAGGTTCCAAAGTGATCTTCGAAGAACTCAGAGTGAAAAAGATCGACTAGAATCACAGAAAGAGAATATGGAACATGAAATGGGGCGGTATCAAACACAACTTACAAAATATAAGGCTGAATTGGATGCTAGTTATACAGAAATAGAAAAGTTTAAAAATAAATATGATAATGCTTTGATGGACTTGGACCGGGTTTATGAGGAAAAAAATAAATTTGTCTTAGAAATCCAACACTTGCAAGATGAAATTGACAAAATGCATGATGATAAATTAGAAATGGAGAAAAGCAAACAACATCAAGACTATGATAGACTAAGTTATGAATTAGAGAAACTGAAACAACAATATCAAGAGAGAGAGACTGATATATGGGAACTTGAAAATCAAAAACAAAAACATGAAAAAGAAATTGACAGGTTGCAAAAAGAGCTTTCCACTGTTCAAGAAAAAATTCATAAATCTTATGATGAAAATAAAAAACAGGAGAAATTATTAATAGACAATCAAAAGTTGAAAGAAAGTATTGAACAACTTGAAATAGAATTAGAAAGAATAAGAAGAGAACGAGACAGACTTAGATCAGAAGTTGAAATGTCCCAAGAAAAACTTGACTTACAAGCATCACGTGAAAAAAAATTCAAACTTCAAATTGAACGATTAGCAACAGAAAATGATACACTCCAAGAGAGTGTTGATCATGCACAAAAAGAAGTTGAAAGAGCAAGAAAGGATAGAGACAGAATACAAGTTGATCTTGAGTTACTGCAGACAAGATTTGATAAGTACATCTCACGAGATACTAATCTCAAACAAGAAATTGAAAGATCGATGATAAGTAATCAACAACTCACTGAAAAAATTGACAAAGTACAGACTGAACTGGAGAAAGTTCAGCAAGACCGAGACAGAAAACAAATGGAAATGGAAACCGTTCAAGAAAAACTTAACAATTATATTTCCACAGACAAAGAGCAACAACTTGAAATTGATAGAATTAATGTTGAAAACAAAAGGCTTAAGGTGGATTTAGATGATATTCGTATTGAAATGGAGAAATTACGAAGAGAGAGAGATAGAAAGCAAAGAGAATTGGACTCATTTCAAGTAAAGCTTGACAATTATGCTTTAAACAAAGATGATCAGAAGGAAGAAATTGAAAAGGTCATGACTGAAAATCAAAAGTTGAAAGTAAATTTAGATGAACTGTACACAGAACTGGAAAAAAAGGAAAGAGAAAATGACAAAAAACAGAGAGAAGTCGATTCTATTAAAGAATCACTTAATAACTACATTACAAGGGACAAAGACCAGAAACAGGAAATTGACAGAATTAGCATAGAAAATAAAAAACTTAAAATCAGTTTAGATGATATCAATTTTGAAATTGAAAAATTGCAAAGAGAAAGAGACAGAAAGCAAAGGGAATTAGAATCAATTCAAGAAAAGCTTGACAGTTATGCCTTGAGTAAAAATGACCAGAAAAAAGAAATTGAGAAAGTTGTGTCCGAAAACCAAAGACTGAAGATAGTTGTAGATGAACTGCATGCTGATGTGGAAAAAGTAACACGAGAAAGAGATAAGAAAAAAAGAGAACTTGAAGCAGCTCATGAAGAGCTTAATAGTTATATTTCAATAAATGATGAACAAACAAAAGAAATTCAGAAGTTTGTGGTTGCAAATAAAAAACTGAAACTTGATCAGGATGAACTGATTGTAAAACTGGAAAAAACTCAAAAAGAAAAAGATGAAACACTTAGAGAATTAGAGTCAGTACAAGAAAAACTCGATAAATTTGCTTTAAGTAAAGATGAACAAAGGGAAGAGATAGAAAGGATAGTGTTAGAAAATGAAAGTCTTAAAATAAAGTTGGATGAATTACAGACTAACTTAGAAAATATAATGAAAGAAAAGGAGAAGAAACAAAGAGATCTTGTAGCAATTCAAGAGAAACTTAATAGTTATGTGTCAACAAATGATGAACAAACAAAAAAAATACAGACGCTTGTAGTTGAGTTCATCTTGATCAACTTTTAGTTTTTCATTTTTTTGTTCATCTTTACTTAAAGCAAATTTATCGAGTTTTTCTTGTACTGACTCTAATTCTCTAAGTGTTTCATCTTTTTCTTTTTGAGTTTTTTCCAGTTTTACAATCTTTTAAGACTTTCATTTTCTAACACTATCCTTTCTATCTCTTCCCTGTAATTCATCCAAGTTTACAATGACTTAGAAACACTAGAACAAGATATAGAGGGAAAGCACAAAGAACTTGTAACAGCCAAGGGACAGCTCCATGAATATATATCTCTTGATGAGAGTCAGAAAAATGAGATTGAAAAACTTGCATATGAAAAAGAAATGCTTATAACAACTTTGGAAGAAATTCGTTCTGAATTAGATCAAACAGTTGAAGATAGAAGCAAATTAAAGACTGAATTAGATTCTCTTAAGGTTCAGGTAGAAAAACTCACTGTTGAAGAAGATAGTAAAAAACAAGAAGTGGACTTACTTTATCAGAAAGTTGAACAGCTGGAAATGGAACTGAGAAAAGCTAGAATTGATTTCGAAAAGAAAGAAGTTGAATTAAGTTCTGCTCAGGAGAAAATTAGGCATTATTTATCTCATGAAAATGAACATAAAAATGAGATTAAAAAACTAAAGACTGCAAACCAACAGTTAGAAGAAAACATAGCAAGGCTTCAAACAAATTTGAATACAATAAGAAAAGATAGAGATAAAATACAAACAGATCTTGATTCATGTAAACAAAACCTTGATAAGCATGTTTCAAAAGAAAAAGAGTTAAAACTGGAGAAAGAAAGATTAGAAACAGAAATCAAAACTCTCCATGAAAAATTAAGTTATCTTCATGGAGATTTAGAGAAAACACAGAGGGAAAAAAACTCACTTCAGAAGGAGTTTCAAGATCTTCATACTGCTTTAGATCGCACTCAGGCACAACTAGAAAGACTTCATTCTAGCCACCAGAAGTCACATGAAGACCTGCAGCAAACGACCAGTGAAAGTGAGCAGCTGAGACAGCTCGTGAGAAAATACGAAACAGAGTTTCAGCAGTCTGTTTCACAAAATAGTCTTCTCCAGAAAGAAATTCATCAACTAAGACAGGATGTAGAAGACGCCGGCAAATATATCGAGAAACTCTTAGAAACCCAAAAAAGTGATAAAAATGCATTGGAACACTTATTGGAAGAAAAAAATTTGATTGAAAGCAACTTCGAAAAATCTCAGAAAGAGTTGCAACAAATGAAGAAGATAAACGAAAAGGTTCTGATGTATGAAAATGAACTTCAAAAGTATCGAGAGGAGGAAATAAAAAATCAGGCTGCTCTAGAAAGGTCAAAAGCAGAGCTACAAAATTCACAGCTTGAATTTCAAAAATTGCAAGAGAAGTTAGAGAAAATGGAAGCAGACAACAAAGAACTTCAAGAGAAATTAAATGTAGCTCTGCAAGCAATAACTAAGTTCCAGAAGCAGGCACAAAAGTCCAACGAAGACCTTCAGAGCACAAAAAAAGAAAATGAAGAGCTAAGAGAGCTTTTGTCTCAAAACCAAAAAACAATGGAAAATAAGTTTCAAGAAGAACGAAATGACACCAAAAGAGAACTTGAAAGGCTCTGCTCAGAACTGAATAGTCGTAAAGCAGAAATAGAAAAAGCAAACGAGGAGGTTCGAAAGTATAAGAAATATCTAGCAAAAGTTCAAGAAGAAAGCCAGATACAGAAACATCAAATTGAAACAGAAGTAGAAAAACTCCAAAAAGATCAGGAAAACTATAAGTCTGAAATTCAAAGAGCTCATGAAGAAATTCAAGATTATCAGAAACATATGTCAAAGATTGAAGAAGAAGTCAGGAAACAGACTGCAGGGAAAAGGGAAGCTGAGAAACAGATAGAAAGCCTAAAACAAGAAGTAGAAAAACATAAAAGTGAAGTAAGGAAAGCTAAAGAAGAAGTTGAGAGATTCCATATGCAAGTGACAAAAATGCAAGAAGAGGCCGGAAACCAGAGCGTTTTGAAACAACAAGCCGACAGAGAAATGGAGAGAATGAAGCTTGAAGTTGAAAATCATAAGGCTGAAGTTCAAAGAGCTAATGAAGATATCCAGAAATACCAACAACAGTTGGTTAAGATACAAGAAGAAAAGAAATCTCAGATGGTGCAGAAAGATTTGGAGTTTGAGTCCATGCAGAAAGAACTTGAAACAAAAAAAATTGAAACAAACAAAGCAAATGAAGAAATAAAAAAATATAGAAAAAAAATAACCAAGCTTCAAGAGCAGTTAGCAGCCCAACAAGATCAGAAGGATCAGTCAACAAAACTTGAAAATATGTGTAAAGAATTTGAGAAACTAAAAACAGAAAATATGAAATTACAGGAGGAGACTCAAAAACTAAAGAAGCAACTGCTAAAATCTCAAGAAGAAACTAAGTCATTTACAATTGAGAGAGAAAGATTTCAGAATCAGTTAGAACGACTGGTACAAGAGCTAGAGAATAGGGAGGTTAGTGGGAAATGCTTGGTCATGTGGAGATCATGGTTTCAGTATTGGTTCTTTTTTCAAGGGCTGAATTTGTTTTGTAGATTTTTTAGTTTTTGCTGTTTAATTATGTTTTTATTCTTTGGTTCTTTCAGTTTTGTTTCTTTTGATCCATGGTTGTTTTTACAAGGGCTGAATTTATTTTCCAGGTTTTTAGTTTTTGCTGTTTAATTATGTTTTTATTCTTTGGTTCTTTTGATCCATGGTTCTTGGATTTCTTTTTTAAATTCTGAATATTTCATTTTAGCATGGTTCAGGAATGACAGTCACGTCTGATATGTTCTATTTTAAAGTTTTTGGTTGTAGTGATGAGTTTTTGTATTCTGCTTGCAGTCTTTTCAGTTTTAATTTGTGACCATTATCAGTTTGAGAATCTAAAATTGAGTACAAGCTGGCAGATATTATTGTGATACCATTAAGTTTTCTTGTGTTGTTTTTTTTTAAACTTTATTTCCAAATTTTAGTCTTTTTTTCTTTCCCTTTTTAAACAATAAAGATTTGATAAAGTAATATTATGTTCATTTTTAGATGCACTTTTTTATTTCTAAAGTAAATTATTCTGAATATTTCATCATTCTACATAGTTATTTATATATATATAACATTGTAACGCAAGATTAATTGCTCGACATTAAATCTACTTCACTGCTTTATTAAACAAATGAAACTTTTGTAATCAGATAATGCAAGAACTAATAATATAATACTTGAAAAGTAATCTGAAAGAAAAGTAAGTCTTTGCAAAATATAATGAAGAAGATGTTGGAAAAAAAGAGAAAAATAATTTGGAAATACTTAAAATCTTACAGTTTTTTATTTTGTTTGTAAAAAAAAAACATTTTACCACATTTAGCTGATCCACCTATATTGTTCTGATTACCACTTACTAAGACTAATTTTTTACATTTTATTTTGTTGATCATGTACTCTCTGTGTCGTACAGTAAAAAACAAACTGACATTCGGTATCATTATTCTTCTAAATATACACAATACCAATTTTTTAAATACTAATTTTCTTCATATCTCTTTAATACTGAGTTCTGTAGTGAAAACATTTTTGTTGATCAAATAATAATCATTTCTACACTAAACCCATACTCTTTATATGACGTTTGTTTCATAGTGTACCTAGTACGTTACTATGTAGTGATATTATCATTGTTTCAAAGATGAAATACGTACACTTAACTGGCTCTTTAAGTACGTTTAGCAACAGTGTTTACTTTTATTGACCAATACGTATTTATGTGATGCTCCTGGTGAAAACAAATGAACCTAATTCTCATCATTCTTTATAGATATGTGTAATAACTTTTAGTTCAACAAAAACCTGAAATTGTCTCTCTTGATTTGTTCACAACTATATATTTCAATATTCTGTCATTTAGACTGAGCTTCAAGCTTTACGAACCCAGCAAGATACTTCCAAAGAAAAGGACTTACAGCACAATACAGATAATGTTGCATTAGAAAAGCAACTGCAGAAGGAGCAAAAAACTGTTGAGGATTTACAGAAGATACTGAAAGAACAAAAAGAGAAGTTAGATCATATGGAAGTAGAAAGAAAACAGGTAAAATTTTTGATATCTCGAGACACCATAACTATTGTCAGTTGTGTCTATCTTCAAATTATCATCTGGTTTTTTTTAAATTGGTAGTGTAATATTTCAGTGTCATTTAGTATTTGTTCAGTTATCAGACATGGCCAGAGAAGAAACTTATTGTTCTGTATATAAAAGTAACTTTATTTACAGTGCAACCCAAACTGATAAAATATCTCAATTCAAATATGTGAAAATAAGCTGTTCTTAAAGAATAAAATAGTTGTTAAATAATTTAATTGAGAAAATTCCGTGATATTTCATTTCAACTGTTTTTAAGTCCTAGATATCTCTGTAATGCATGCATTCAGTTAATATATTCTTCTTTTGTTTTTTGACAAATACTTCAGGGGTTAATTACCTGTAGTGGAAAGAGTGCAGATAACCCACGGTGTAGTTTTGAACTAAAACAACAACAACAATTTTTGACAAATTAACAAGAAATGTTAGTTTATAAACTAAACACGTATTTCAAATTTCTTGAAATAAAGGACATTTGGCGAAAAGATTGTAGGATGTATTTCAATATATAGAAACAGAATATTGGAAGAAAAGCAGTGTTTGCTTACATCTTTTTAACAAAAGTTTAATTGACTTTAGAAATACATCAACAAAGATAAAAAATCTTAACAAAATAACTGGTCCATATGAACTTAGTGTGGCCAAAACACACACTCTTCTACTGATCTTTAAATCTTGTAGCTTTCTCAGATTGTGGTCATTATTTATCTAGATTAGACATAAAAAATATTTAAATTTTAAAATCATTTGAGCCAGAATGAAGCCTTAACCAAAGAAATTGATGAACTACATCAGAAGACTTCTGAACTAGAAAAAGTCAGAATGGAAAGTAAAAAAGAACTTGAAAAAACCAAAGAAGAAGCAAAACATTCATCCACAGAACTTGAAAGACTGTTACAAATTATGTCCAACATGGAAGAGGAGAAATTTTCTCTAAATCAGCAAATACAAGAAGTTTTACCGTGCTATGACTATAATAAGCACAAACTACAATAAGCTTACTTCTGTAAATTTTCTTTACTATAAGTTATTAATGACAGTTCAACTTCAGTATATGTACAGATATAAGATTTACAGAAGTAAGCTTATTGTAGTTTGTGCTTATTATAGTCATGGCACGGTAAAACTGTAAAGAAAATATAAGTAATTAATGACAGTTCAACTTCAGTATATGTACAGATACAAGATATAAGTTATTAATGACAGTTCAACTTCAGTATATGTACAGATATAAGGTTTACAGAAGTAAGCTTATTGTAGTTTGTGCTTATTATAGTCATAGCACGGTAAAACTGTAAAGAAAATATAAGTTATTAATGACAGTTCAACTTCAGTATATGTACAGATATAAGGTTTACAGAAGTAAGCTTATTGTAGTTTGTGCTTATTATAATCATAGCACGGTAAAACTGTAAAGAAAATATAAGTTATTAATGACAGTTCAACTTCAGTATATGTACAGATATAAGGTTTACAGAAGTAAGCTTATTGTAGTTTGTGCTTATTATAATCATAGCACGGTAAA